TTTTGGGAGCTTCCAAGTGCCAGAGGGAGATTACATGGGATTTTTCATGGCTGCAGTCTCAGAGCATCCTGCAGGCTGGTGAAGTTCCCCAGTGTTCTGTTTGGTCCCTCATGCCCATGCAGAATAGCTGCCCCCGTTCTCAAGCTGGGCACTTGTTCAGGGTCGGAGTGAGAGCCACAGCTATCTCCCTGCTTTGGACAAGCTCTCCAGGCCCAGAAAGCCACAGGATATCTGAGTTGGTAAAAGGAAGCCAAGTTGTGATGTGGTGTTTTAGAAAGCCACAGTTCAGAGCTGAGATGGGCACCATTTTAAGTGTGCTCTGCAGCTGGTGAGTTGATACAGTTTTAAAGTAAGGGAGGAGATAGAGCAGCTGAACAAAGATGTTTTTAAGGCCAACCTTTAATACATGCACTGAGCAGTGATGTGATCAGTAAATGCTAGTGCTTTATAAACTGACGCTCTCACTTCTACCCTGCTTACATTTTTCATGCTCGTGTTAAAACAATACTTTATTTTCCCTATACCTGGAAAGTTCTGTTTATATCAATTCCTCTTAAGTTTTTGCTTTCCCCTTTCATTTAACACTGTGTGTCTGATGCACTGGTGGTTTTTATCTCTCTCCCCCCCCTACCCCCATCATTGAACCATTTGTGCTCTCTGGACACATACCATTTCAGTGGGCTGGATGCCAGCTTTGGTATATTAAAGCCACACAGATAAGCTAACAGTGGTTAGTGGTGTTGTCTCACTCCAGCTTATTGTCTGCCTTTAATCTTGAGCCGATTAATCTGTCCAAGGAGGAGTGAAGGATCATGAGCAAGACAGGCTCATGGATGATGGGTGGGTGGGAGCTGAAAGACTTGGAAGTAAGAGCAGATGCACCTTGTAAGCAATGTGAAACCATATGGAATGAAGGGAGAGCAAAACCAGACACATCAGAGGGGTAATTAAGAGTCTTAGTGAGCGTGGCTGGAGCAGTGGTGGGTACGCAGGTGCTCCCTGCCTTCCGAAGGGAGGGGAAGGCCCGGTTTGTCTGGGAAAGAGCTAAACAAACTATCCAGTAATTCTGGGCTCTTGTCAGGGTTTTACCGAGGGAAAACCTGGATGATTTGTAAAACACAAAATCCTCTTCTGGTATTTTTCTTTAACAGCAGCTACTTTGCTGCTGGGAAGGGGCTTGCTTGCCCCTAAGCCACAGGCTGTTGCATTTTTGGATCCTGCATCTCAGAAGGTTAAAAGAGAAATCCACAGAATGTTTTCTGTTCATAGCTGAGAAACCACTGTAATCCTAACCTCGTCCCTGCCATGTAACTTGCTGGGAGTGATGTTAAATAAAGAGAAACATTAGGGTTAGGGCTGAACTTCACTCGTGATTCAGGGAACCACTACAAGGACCACAAGCTCTTTACTTCCTCCTTTGAAGGTTTCAGTACTGATGAAGTGATACTTAAATGATCTCTCCCTTTCCTCTTTTTTTCTTCACTTTGTTTCTGTTTTTGGAGTCAGCTTTGAGCTTAAACTGAGCTGGCAACTTCCTTTTCAGACCTCAGCAGCTGACATCATTTGCACAGCAATAATCAACAACAGGAAGAAAACATCTGGGCTTGGAAGCATGAAGACATCAAGGCTGTAGTGGTCTGGAGAATAAAGGGGTGACAACAGTATGTTTGCAACAGTTTGTCTTGAGTGCGTCCTGCAGACATGAGGCCGCTCGAGTGGCTGCAGGAATTGAACATTCCTGGTTTCTGAGATGAAGGAAGGAAGGATGGGGCAGTAAAGCTGTTGGGTTCCCTAGAGAGAAGTGGGTCGGTGAGGTCAGGACAGCACGCTGCTTTTCGCATGGGAAGCCTCCAGGGTAGTCTCCATGGCTGGGTTTGCTGCGTGCTCCGGTGGGTCAGAAGACCTCGTGTCCATGGTCCTGTGGCAGATCATACCCAGGGGTCATCCTCGGAACCTGGGCTGTGGGAATGCAGCGGATGGAGCTTCCATCAGCTGCTTTGTACTGCTCTGAAGCACAGGGACCTTAAAGGGAAAGCTTCTTGTTTTACTCTGAGCTCTTGAGCTGTGCCTGAGGACTGAAGAGCTTCCTCTGAGTTGCATGTGGGTGATTCCTTTCCATACCAGTAGGCAGGAGTAGTTGCAATGCTCAGTTCTTTTAACAGCAGGTGAAGAATCAGTCTCCACTCTTCTCCTTTAAAGGATCTATGCTCATTCTCACTTTCTTGGGCTCCTAAAAACCCTAACCCTCACATGTAGGGATGTAGGCCATGGTCTTGCAATGTAATTGGCCCCTTCCTTTGTATCAAGGGATGGTAAAATTGAGGAGACATTTGCATTTGTGTCTGAATTATCTCTAGACTAACACTTAGGGTTGCATCCAGCTTCCTCATGTCTTATTTCAGCATCTACTGCTTCTGCCTCACCTGTGGCAGCACAGCTTTCTTCCTGCTCCGGGGTGCTGTGTGTCAGGTCCAGGGATGTCCTTCTCACTATCTCATGGTGTGCTTGATGATGTTGCTCCTCCCTAGAGTCTCTTTGGACTAGTTAAATCACAGGCTTTTAAAGGCTGCTGGCTTAACTTGCACATTCAGGCCTCTTCTTGATGACTTCTTCCGTGTGAATATAACAAAGTGGTTGATCAGTAATATTTGGCTGGCAGAAAGCTGCTATGGAAACAAACTGTATTCTGTTTTGGGGGGGATGATGGGTGATTTGGCTATCGGGGAGCTCGAGGGAGCTGCTATGAGATATATCAGCAGCACAGCTTCCATATGAGATAGTCCTAATCCCCAGAGTTGATTTTCTTGCACATATGCACCACTACCTCCATCCCTTATCCTTATTGTAACCAGCTGTGGTTTGACTTTGTTAAAGATCTGATAGAGCTCCCTTACCCCTTCTCCCACTCCCTCCACCAACTGCCATTAGTCATACTTGGGCAGTGCATGAAATAAGATGGTGATAAAGCTCTGATCCTAGACACCAGAGTCATTCCTAGGGGCTCCTTGCTGGGCTGGGAAGACTCCTCTGTGTTAACCCCTTGGTGTCTCCAGGCAGGATTTCCTAATGCCCATAGTCATGTATCATCTTTGGGGCCGAGAGAGCTCTTAGAGCACCTTTTGTCTTAAGTAGAGATGGATTTGTTATTGTGATGTGTTGGAGATTAAATGGGCTTTGTTTGCTTTTGAATTAGCCAGTGGCTGAGGAAGAACAGCTCTTGTGTTAATGCACTGGCCGTTTGTGAAAACCTGGGTTTTCTCTGTGTCCCATTGGTAACACAGGGGGAATGTTATTTTTCTCCTTGGTTTTCATACTACTTAAGCTAAAGATTAACTTTGGCAGAGTGACAGGGGGCTACATACTGGCCAAGAAGAAACAGTTCAGTCTGGAAGTTAGTGGAAGGTTTCTGACCGCTGGGGAGGAGGAGATCATGGAACAGAAACGGGATGATTCTTTAAAAACAGGCCAGTTTATCATCTGGTTAAATTTGGGTTGCTTCTCCCGAGGGTGGTGGAAAGCACATCCTTGAGCTGATGCCAGTCACCAGGCACATCTCAGAGCTTTCACTCGTAGCACAGATTTCTCTGGTGGGCAGGACTCTGGTGTCTGAGCACAGGAAGGCCACCAACTGCTCCTGAACCCTTAACCCGCTGCTCCTCAAAGCTGCAGCTGTCCTGCTGATGTATCGGCAAAGAACTGCATCCCACGCCTCCCTTTGCAGCCTGGCAAAGGGGCAAACACCAGTCACTTGGAAAAGCACAGATATTTTAACTGCTCTTTTGCTGACTGTCACGTAGTCACCTTTGCAAGAGGGAGAGAGGGTGGACACAGCTTTTGGGGAAGGATGGTTCTTCACTGGAAACAAGTAGGGCCCGAGGACTTTGTCTCTTATTCCAGCTGTGATGTAGAGCCAACTGCTGAGCTGATGGCAGCTCAGATACTCACCAGCAAGGTTAAAAATAAACTGCTTGAATTTCTCTGCTGATAATTGCAGCAATTACTTTTGTGCTTGTGTGATTTGATGTAAGATCAAACCAGGGCTCTGTCCTCCTCAACAGTGCCTCCCCAGCTGTGACCCCTGAGGTCCCGCAGGCTGTTCCTCCTCTCAGCAGCAGCTCAGTTTCTGAGATGCTGGCTGGCTGCTTTTATTTCACTGTCTCTAGTGAAGATCTTAAAGATCTGTGTGTTGAGATGAAAGTCTGAATGCTCTTCAGATTACTGCAAGGAAAACTAAACCTTCACATCCAGATCTCTTTTACCCTTTGAGGCTGTTCTGCACCTGTAGCACTGGGGGAGTATTTTGTAGCTGCCTATGAACCTAGTTGCTGCTGGACGTAATGTGTTAGGCTGGAACAGGGATCAGAGTAAGCAGATGCTGGAGGCAAGCAGCATCTCGTTGTCAGGGGTGTCTCTCCAGCCACAACAGACTGTTGGTCCCGCTTCTTCCAGTCCTCACTTGTACACTGTTTGTGGAAGGTGTTCTTGGTTGGGATGCATAGCACAAAGCAGCTCTGATCCATGTGGAGACCTTGGGTGACACTGTGCATGTGCCAGCATCTTTACACTGTTTGGACACCTTTTCTAGTATGTCCAGAGGCACAGAGGCACTGGTTGGACATGAGGTGCTGAGTGCTGAAAGCTGCTGACTGATGCTCACAGGGGATTTTGCCCGTGTCATTGTTCATTTGTCTCCAAACAGGGGAGAGGTGTTTTGTGTTTGTTGCCCTTAGGAGGGAGTTCCACTTGCTCCATTCACAAACAGTTGCAGTAAACAGGCTGTAGTAATTGAACTGTTTCATTCACCTTCTGCTCCATAATCAGCTCCTGGCTGCATTCTCAGATGTGGGACTTCAGAAGCCAGGTCTTTCAAACTCAGGTATTTAAAGGGGAAGGGGATGTCTCGTTTTCACAGCAGGCTCTGCAGATCATGCTTTCTGTCCTGGACATCCAGGAAAGCTGTTGCACTGGCCATTTACCACTGCTTTGGTTGTCTTTCCCAGTTGATCATGTGGTTCCTGAGCCAGGGACCAGTTTGCTGACGGCATTTGACCAGTGGCGAGAATGGGCAGACAGCAAATCCTGCTGTGACTACTCTCTGCATGTGGACATCACTGAGTGGCATAAAGGTGTCCAGGAGGAGATGGAAGCTCTGGTTAAAGATCATGGTAAGTTCAGTTACTGAAAGTTGAGGAAAGCCTTTCCCCTCCTTATGTTTTAGGACTGTCTCCCTGAGGTTTTAGGACTGGCTCTTGTGAAATATTTCACTTTCACATCCCAATAGAGCTGGTTTGGGCCCTGACATTAACTTGGCTCATTCCAGCCATGAAGGTTTGGACACTTGCTGTTGTAGAGGGCTCAGGGGGTACACACTGGTTCCACATGGTGGAGGAGATCCTGGCCTTATGCTGTGATCTGCTTGAGAATCCATGTGTGTGCATGCACATGCATGTACACATTTCACAGCAAAGTCATTTACTTGTCTACCTGTCATTACTGCTTGGGGGGGGGCTGACTGAGGGAGGGGGATGTCTTCTCCCTGTGACAAGCGGTGTGGTTTATGTTGCTTTGTCTGTGTCTGCAATGTTCTCTCTCTCTCCCAGGTGTGAACTCCTTCTTGGTGTACATGGCTTTCAAAGATCGCTTTCAGCTGACTGATTCTCAGGTAGGAGGGCTTAATGTTCGCATGCTTCTGTCACTGCAGGCTGGGCACTGCTTTATATGAGGGTTTCATTTCAGTACACTGGGATCTCATATTCTCTGCTGGTCCAATCTTTGTATGTGTAACAGTACCTAAGGTTTACAACAGTGCCCAGAGCTCTGGATGCCAGGTTATTTTCTTAACAAAAAAACCCAACCAACAGCAAACCCTGAAAGCAGCAGCAAAACCCTCACTGGGAGAGATGTGAGGTTTCAGTCCAGCTCCCGTAGTGTGGAACCAGTGGCAGCGTTATGAATTGCTGCTTTATGCCTAGGCACAGGGCAGGACAGTGAGACCTCTGGCGTAACTACTCTGTGTGTTTATCAGACTGATTCTGGTCCAGAAGTTGGTTTCTGGCTCTAGTGTTAGAATTGTGGGTCCTTAAGAAGGAATTGCCATTTGCTGTTCTGGTGGATACATTTGGGTACATTTAATTGTGTAGATGGCAGTTTGTATTTCTAAATGTGGGGGGAAAGGAATGCCTGGGAGCCTGGAACAGTGGAGGAGGCAGTGGTGGGTGACACTTATCTCTAATGACTCTGGTAAGCATTTTAATGAGTGGCCATTGATGGAGCCAGGGTCTGTTGTGGGTTACTCAGCCTGAGCCCTTTCAGAGTGGGGAATCACACTGCTCCTGTCCCAGGCAGCGAGAGGGGTGGGTGCAGGTTCTCCATGAAAATCAAATGTAAGGGGTTTTATTTCATGCCAGGCAGCAGTAAATGACGGCATGAAACAGGTACAGCCCTGTGAGCTCTTAAAATCCCTCCAGATGTAGGCATGTTCACTTACTATTTCTTCCTTCAGTGTGGCCAGTATAGCAAACCTGGCTTTTAAATAGTGCTTGTTTGCCATGTATCAGTGGCATCCAACTCTGTGGGTTGGGAGATTCAGTTGTGGGCAGGAAAATGGATCATATCTATCCAGAAAACCCCATCTTATATTTCTTAATGCTTCTCTTTCTCTTTTCCAATCATCAAAATGCAGTATGCTGAGGAGTCTGGAGTGTTTGTAATAGGTGTGTATTGTACCTGGGTGTACACTCAGGGTGTACTATAACGTGTGTTTTCTCTCCTCCAGATATATGAGGTCCTGAGTGTGATCCGGGATATTGGCGCGACAGCTCAAGTGCATGCTGAGAACGGTGACATCATTGCTGAGGTATGGGATGTTTGTTCTGTGGGTTATTCACTTCAAAATGCTGGGAGGGAGGGAGGGATTGACACTCTTCAGTCCTTCTTTGCAAACAGAAATTGCCACGATTTGTAAAAGCTTGACATAGGTGTATCAAGGATGTAAGCAGAGCTGGACATCAACTCTTACCCCCTTCATTGCTACTGATAAAGCAGGGGTTTGTGGCAGCTTTCAGTTTGTGGTGGGTATTGGCCACCTCTGCCTTTCTCCCCATAAGTGAAGGACGGTGTCTGGCTGTGGATGTCACTGTGTACAATAAAATGTCCTGCAGAGACTAAGACCAGGGGGTGTAGGAAGGGAAATAGCTTCATACAGTACCCAAGATGATGATGTTTGGGATCTGTTCATCTTTAGACAGCAGCAAAGAAGAAATGTCAGTAATGTGTTTGGATTTAATTGGATCTCTAGCTCATTTTATGCATTATGTCTCATTGTCTGAGTGGGGAAGAGCCCACCCGAGTCTTTGAGCCCAGTTGCCTGCAGTTGCGGGATGATATTTCTCATGAGATACCGTCTTGCCGTATCTTGGAGATTATGTTATAGACACAAATGAGCAGTAGAAGTTGAGGGGCTCTGAACCCAGGGTCAGGCAAATCAAAATGAAAGGTTTCTCTGACTTCCTGTGAACAAGTCAGCAAGGGTTTTGTGAGCTCTGGTTATTCTCAGCAAGGGAAGTTGGACAGGGCTCTGGATGTAAGGCCCTTATGTAAAGCCCCATGTGATTATTAGCTAGCACAGATGCCTGGGATCTCACTTGTGCCTCTTTCAAACAGCTGTGTTTGCTGCAAGAAGAAATGTGTGTTGCTTTAAATCCTTTTCCTCCTCTTTTTGTTCTCTCTGCCTTAGGAGCAGCAAAGGATCCTGGAGCTGGGAATCACAGGCCCTGAAGGGCATGTGTTGAGCAGACCTGAGGAGGTGAGGACTTTACTTCCCCAGTTTGTAATATTTCTGCATTGCCATCAAGTACTTCACATTGGGATGAATGTGGCTGGAAACATGATTTTATCCTGGTTGTGGAGTCTATAAAGGCTTTGCTCACACTTCAGGTATCTAAAGTGAGGTGATGTGCTTGAACATGAGTAAGACTCTTCGTGTGTTGGCATGAGGAAAGACTTCTGATTTCGGTTGTATGTAGGCAGCATTCTGCCACTGACTGTTCTAGATCCCATCTCTTGGGCTTCTATCTTGGTCCTTATTTTATCAAGACTTCCTCTGAATCAGCAGAAAGTTTTAATATATGCCCAAACCCTGGCGTTCTGCACCTGCATCGCTTCTGTTACCATGTTTGATTGATGAACATTTTGCTGATGGAAAATGGTCCATCCCTTTTTTCACACCAAGGGACTAAGTGGTTTGCTGAAGGCACAGAAAGTGTGTACCAGAGAGGGGACCTAATTCGTAGAACCATAGAATGGTCTGGGTTGGAAAGGACCTTCTCAGATCTCAGCCCAGCACTTAAATATAGTTAACCTTCATACTTCCCCATTGACTTCTCAAGGATCAAGCATCCCAATCTCCCTCACTCTTAAGTCTTTGAAATAAATCTCAATTCTAAGAACCTAAAAGCTGTTTTTCAGGTGGTTTCCCAGTGCATTCTTCATTTTAGTCTTTCAGTATCTCTAAGCAAGACATCTCATCATGGCAGTCTGGGTTTGTGAAGTCCATTTGCAACGTAGAAGCTGTTCTTTTTGTCCCTCAGAGCTGTTGGGGCTTTGCTGACTGCCAGATGTGGCAGCTGGAAGCTGGGTGTGTGAGATCATCCACACGTGCCCCTCATGCTCCCTCTCGATTTCCTCCCCTTGGTTCAGACAAGCAGCATCCAGAGACATTTCAGTAGGAACATAAATCACTCAGTTGCTTCATGCAGGAAAAAAAAGCTCAACTTGGGCAGTGTGTGAATCCTCACAGTAGTTTGTGTTTGGCTCCAGGAACTGGGATTTTTTGCTTCCTGAAAGGTGGGAATAAACACTTGTACTGAGCTTTCCACCCACCCCTGCATTATTGTTTCATACATATTTCTTGGCTTGCATCAGGAGAGTGGGAACAGATGCTGACGTGACACTTGGAGCTCATCTGTGCAGCACCCCTAAACTTTCATTGACTTCAAAGGAAGGCTGCTTCTTACCTTAAAGTATCTGGCCATCAAACTAGCCAAGTCTTGTCCGGCTACTTCAAAGCTCATCCTTAGTGGAGTGGGAGCTTTGTGGTGGTTCCCTGCCTCGGTTGGGTGGTTACATCTGTGCACAAATGGGTTCTTTCTCAGTGCAGCAAGGAAGGCTGCCTGAGGCCACGTGGCTGCCTCAGATGGGGATCAGTAAAGCCTCTTCCCAGTGTCACTGGGCAGGCTCTGTGCAGCTGAACTCGGCTGTGCTGTCTGCCTGGAGGGGAACCAGTTGCTCCAAAATTCTCCTCCTTGGAAGTCACAGGGAGCGGGGCAGGAAGCGATGTCAGCTGGTTCCCTCCCTCCGCCAGCGCGGGACTAACTCTGTGTTTTTAACAACATACAGCTCCCTTTAAGGTGGCTGCTGATAAAGGCCAGATTCTGGGGGAGGCAGCAGACCCGTAATTCCTGTTGACTCCCATAGAATCATTCAGGTTGGAAGGAACCTTAAAGCTCCTCCAGTTCCAACCCCTGCCACAGGCAGGGACACCTTCCACTAGAGCAGGTTGCTCCAAGCCCCTGTGTCCAACCTGGCCTTGAGCACTGCCAGGGATGGGGCAGTAGAGGTGGATGTTTCTTGGTGTCCTGCCAGGGTGCTGTTAACACTACAGTTGACTTTTCATCTTGCCCTTTATGGAGTGTAAAGCCTGTGCTAAGGACTTTATGATGGTTGTCACTGTATGGAAGAGCTGCTTAGTTCAGACCTCCACCTACAGCAGGAGTTGTTGAACGAGTCTAAAGTATTCATTAAAACCAAACTCCCACTCAGTGCAGTGAGGCTGAGGTCAGAGTGAGGCATCCAGGGCCTGGCCCTGTGTGTTTGTGTCTTGGAGCATTCACATCTTCTGAATTCCCAGGTTGAGCAGGAGGCATGAATTAGGACTTAAGTTTCACTGCTGACTCATGGGCTTGGCTTGCTCACCTCAGTAACCTGTGTTGAGCCAAGGTGACAGTATTCAGTACGTTATTCCAGCCAGCAAAGGGAGCCTTAATTCAGACCCCACTATCCCAGGTCAGCATCACCCATCGCTTTGTGGAAAGCTCTCCCCTCATAGCTCAGATCATTCTGTGATGACTTTTCGGAGCCATCCATCATTTCTTGTTTTTATTTCAGCCACAAAAACGCTGGAAGCACAAGTAGTCCCAGTGCTTCAGGAAATGTCTGTCTCTTTTTTCCAAGAGAACTGCTGTGTTAGGGCTTCTGCTGCATGCTGGTAATTGCAAACATTCCCCTTTGGACTCGTCGTTGGGTTATTGTTATGTGCCTGTCACCATAGCATCTGGGCACAAGGCGTGAATTCAGCAGCCTTGTCCTCTTCTGTGCAAAAAACATTCTCCTCCTGCTTATCAATTGCTCAAATGCCTTTTGGTCAGAAGTCTGGGGTGAGTGTTGTTTCATCCCTGCTTTGCAAGTGGGGAAACTAAGGCACAGGATGGAAACAGTGACAGAGCTGTGCACAGGCTGGCTTTAAATGGGCAGTTTGCAAACAGATGCCATTGCCTGGACGCGTTGGTCTGTCCGAGTTCTCTCCTCGTCTCTCAGGAGGGACAAGAATGCTTTTCTTGGCTTTTCCTTTCAGCCTCTCTCTTCGCTGCAAGTGCTGCTGCCTGTGGCGTACTTGAATCAAACGGCCTGGAAGAAACACCCTTCTTGCAGTCTTTTCCATTTGCATGGGGGAGCGGGGCCAAAAATGTCCCCTTGTGTCCAGCACCCTGCTTGGGGAGGGTTAGTCACCAGCCCGGGCCTGGTGGCAGGCCAGGGCTTTAGCCCTTTCAGCACTGGAGCCTAACCTGTTGGTCTGGGGGGCTTGTTTTCTGTAGAACCCCTCAGCTCCTGTCAGGTTGTTTCCCTTGAGCAGCCCGGCTGCAGACAGCAGTGTTCCAGGTGGTGGCTTTGTCAGGGTGAGCAGAGCTGTTCGGGCACTTGGACCTCAGTCTGGCCAACACACGCTTTCCTGAGCTGGGGGGTTCCTCATCTCAGGTACTTCTTCTGGTGGACCAGGCACAGTGCTGGGAGCCAGCAGTCAGTGTGTTTGATTCTGGGACTGATGGCCTGTGACAAGTCACCATGGAGTGGATGTTCAGTGGTGCTGAGCATGTGCCAATCCCATGGGAGCTGCTGGGAGCCTCTTGCATTTGGGAATCAGGTGTCTGGGTTTGTTTCCTCTGTTGTTCACCTGGAAAATGTGAGTGGTATTGCAGGCTCAGTTCTCCATGGCAGTGGGCACTGTGAGCATTACCCTGCCATTAAATCTGTCATCTGGGCTGCTTTGATGGGGATGTGTGTTCCATGAGAGCCTGCAGAGTGATGACGTTCATTCAGAGGCTGTAGTTATAAAGTGACCCTCAGTCTCACTGAGGTTATCTCTCTACACATGCAAGAAAAAGTACTTGATTTATGGGGTGGTTCACACTCTGTCAGATCCCAAGCCAGATACTGTAGTGCAGGGTGCAATTTAGGAGGCTTGTTTGCAAACGTGGCTTACCAGAGTATGTGGCAGAGCATCTCCCTTCCGTGTGGGCTGGAGCAGGAACAGTTCTGTTGAGTCAACAGTTAGTTGCTTGTTTTTGTCTAGGCTAAAGAATGGGCTTAATCATTCTGACCTTGAGCACCTGGAGTGTTACTTTAGGACTCAAGTCTGCTTGAAGCAGCCTGGGAGAAAAGGTAGTAATAAGAGAGAGCTAGAGCTTGATGCCATTGTGATTGTCGTGGGTACACTGCATTTTTCTGTCTCGGCATTGGAGAGGTGGAAAAGGAGAGAGGAAAGTCTCTCATCCCAGCCCTGCACACCCTCTATTCCCATGCAAGCAGAGGCTGTGACCCTTGGAAGGTGAATGGGATTTGCTAACGTGGGGTGGTGCTAACTTGCTGCTGACTTTGTTTCTCAGGTGGAAGCAGAGGCTGTGAACCGGGCAATAACCATCGCCAACCAAACCAACTGCCCCCTTTATATCACCAAGGTGATGAGCAAAAGTGCTGCTGATGTCATTGCTCAAGCCAGGAAAAAGGGTAAGTTATTGCCCTTGGATGGAAGCGCCCCATTAGCTCATGCAGTTCAGCTCCTTGCCAACATCAGCTTCATCCCTACGGGAAAGGTTTCTTTTTCCAGTGTTATCGTCCAGGCTCTTTTTTAAAAGTCCCAAGCAACTGGTTCTGTCTCATGTCCCACACATGTGCATTCAGTGCTCCTATCAGTGCCAGGAGCTGTTTCTTCTGCTCAGCCTAGAACTTCTCTCTTCACACTCATCCTACCACATTGGGCCATGTGCCTTCATGTTGTCACAGAGTAATTCCATGTTGTCTCCATTTAACGAATCCCCTTGGAGGCTGCAAGCTGTGTCTTCCTTCCAGCTGCTGTGGTCTTTTGAGCTGCTGCCTGGGATCAGAAGTGATTCCAAAAGTCCCGATGGAGGTCTTGACTCACAAGCCCTATTGGATTCAGCTGGAGTAGTGTCATGGTAGCCAAAGAGGTTACTAATTCCAGCTATCCACTGTGCTCCTTGCCTGTGAGATAGATACTCCTCATGTGCTGTACTTCACAGCCTGGCATCCAAACAGGAATTGGGCTCAGTAGTCTGGGTTAGGCTGGGAGTTGCAATCACTCTACCTGAGGATGCTGCTAAGACTCAGACATGCCGTGAATGCTGCTGCCTTGTGTCTCTCCTCTCTGACTGAGGTCTCTGAGGGAGCTGTGCTGCTCTGAGTGATGCAGTAGCTGCTCCAGAGTCCTGACCCTGCTGTCTTGCCCCCAAAGGAGCAAGGGTCATAGAGGCCAGTGAGCGCCAGTCTCCCTGCTCTATTCTGTGACTAACCCCTTCATTTCTATTTAAAGCAGCTCTGAGTGGGTGAGTAAGCAGGAGGGATGATTTTCCCCCTTCTTTCCTCTGAAGGATTGGATTCAAATTTATGCAGTCTAAATAAGCCTGAATGGATATACAAATGACATCACTTTCCATCTGGGTGTTTGGTGTGAGAAGAGCTTATTTCTTACCACACAAACACATTTGTGTTTGTATATTGGCTCAGAAGTATTTTGGTCCCATGATTCTTGTTGAATGAGTTCAGAGTTGATGAGGGTGACTGATTTCCAAGGCATCTCTTTCTGTTCATGGCGTGGAAGCAGCTCAAGCTGTCTGGGATAAACCTTTCTCTCCCAGCTCCATTAGCGGAGATCCTGCTGAAATGAGCTGTGTTGACACAGCGAAGTGGCTGCCTGTTGTATTACCCCAGGAAGCAGCTTGATGTCGTTGTGCAATCCAATCCTGTAAGCCAGGGAAGCATCCCTTCCTTTTTCTAGGTAAAGCACTGGAGAGATGTGCATCAGAGAGATGGATCATCAACAAAACCACCTTCTTGCTATGCTCATTGTCCCCTGAAACCACTAGCAGGCAAGTAGAGAGGGACATTGGGATGAGGCACCATCCACTTACATTGCAGAAGCCATAAAGCACAACCGGACTTGGGTGGATGTTACCTTGCCTGTGAAAGGTGCTGAATGATCCACAGAATGATCCCAGATGAATGATCCACAGAACTCACTTCATCTCCCGAGTGAACAAGAATAGTTAGTTTGCATTCAGATTGTGTTTTCTCCTTATAAGGAGAATTTGGGGTATCAATGGCATACCATTCTCTGTTCCTTTTACTTAGTTCCATTTACATACTGTGCAGTTATCCAACTGGGTAACCCAGGAGGGCCACACACACTGGCCTTGCCCTCCCAAGCAGCAGAGGAAACATAACTGAAGACTACCCAAGGCGAAAACAAAACAGAATTGATCTACTAAATGGAAAGGAACGACCATTATTTAAAGCCAGATGTTCCCAGTGGCATTCGTATGGGGAAGGTTCCCTACAGACTCTGTCATTGGCACATCTGGGAGCTCAAAACGTCGCTCCCTGCAGGATAATCTTCCCAGTGTATTGGCCCACAACAGGCCTCCCATTAATAGCCAGCGTGTGCTTTGCCTTGTTCTGATTTTGTAACCCTATTTGTGGCAAGTGATGTCAGACATCCTCTTCCTCTGCTGGTGGATCCCCTCGGACAGAGGCTGTTCCTGCACCTCCTGTTTCAGTGTGGTCCTGGGAGCAGTGTGAAGCCAGTTAATGCATCGTTCTGCCTTAGCTAATGTGCTCTTTCCCAGCTAGCTTGAGAGCCTGTAGAGCTAACAGTAGCTCAGGCAATATGGTGAAAGAAAAGTCATACTTTTTCACTCTGCATCATGAGGTAAGACCTTGCTGACCAATTCTGGGGTTGCCTTTGCCAGTCTTTTCTGACTGAAGTATTTAGGGTCAGTGTTTTAACCACCCAAGTGTTTTGCAGGCAGGTACAGACACATGAAGTGCCCGGGCTCAGAAGCCAGATGGATGAGCACTTGGAGATTTCAGGAAGGTTGCATTTGGTGAGCAGATCTGGGAAGCTGCCAGCCTGCACCGCTTTTGAAGTTGCAGCATCTTGCATCTGCTTGGTGTGCAGATGGTGCTGGTGCATTCCAGCTTGCAAAGTATCGCGGCTGTTCCTTCATGTGCTTCCAAAAATGTTAATGAAGAGGAAGGATGCGCTGCTGGTTAGTGCACTGCACAGGGAGTCAGAAGATCCAATTTCATTTCCTAGTTCTGCCACAGATACACCAAGTACCTTCGAGGGAATCACTCAAGTTTCCCTGAGCTGCATTTGTGAACCAGAAACAACGATTCTTCCTCTCTGATGGGTTTTCTCTGTGGGCAGGAAGCTTCCCTGATAGGAGTTTTCTCTTAACCTGATCCGTGCACAGAGCTTGCTCCAAGAAACCCAGCCTCGTTAGAGCTCTAACACATCCACATTTATAAAAGTACTTTCATTCTTTTTCTTCCACATCCCTTCTAGGTCAGGCTGGATCTCCTCACACTTACAGTTCCCTTTAGCCTCTTTCACAAGGTTCTTGGCTCAGGGTACAGTGGATCTTTGCAGTCACCGTGTCAAGCACAGTTAATCAGTGCCAACCTCAGCAGTTGTTTGAAGGCATTCTGCACGTTTCACTGCTCCAAGCTCTTAGCAGTAATGGTGTATTTATGATTAACACAGGTATTTACTTGTTTGGATCCTTAGTCCAAGGGACTGATGTTTGGAAAATGCTCAATGTATCTTTAGAGGTCTCTAGATGCTTGTGAAAACATGCCCCCCAGTAACATAAGACAGTTTCTGAGGAGCATTGAACAACCTAGGAGTTCAATCATGTCTGATCATCTGTCATCACTGAATTCAATCCAAACTTTTGTCTCTGTGATCACAAACTTAAGAGGAAGTATCAAGAAACCCTGCAGTGTGTGCTGGTGGCATAACTTACCCAACTTGTCCTTTTTCAGAAGGATGCTTTCTGCCTGGAAGCCAGGCTGGAGATGCATGTTGCTTGGTGCTCACAGTGGATTTGTCTGTATTCCTTGTCCTCTAGGCACTGTGGTGTACGGAGAGCCCATCACAGCCAGCTTGGGTACCGATGGATCTCATTACTGGAGCAAGAATTGGGCTAAGGCAGCAGCTTTTGTTACTTCCCCACCACTGAGTCCTGACCCAACCACTCCTGATTTTCTCAACTCACTACTGTCCTGGTGAGTGGAGCTCTTTGTGTTCATACAACATGTGCTTCATCATGAGACAAGTGGGTAATAAAAGTAATAGCTGTTGTTGCTAGCAAGTAAAAAGATTTTTCACCTTCAGGAGTAAACCTGTGACAATAGCATATCTTAAATCCCTATCATTGTCTTCTCCAGTGGAGACCTCCAAGTTACTGGCAGTGCCCACTGCACCTTCAACACTGCTCAGAAAGCTGTTGGGAAAGACAACTTCACCCTGATCCCTGAAGGAACCAATGGGACTGAAGAGAGGATGTCCATCATCTGGGATAAGGCTGTGGTATGTCACATGTGTCATAGACTTAGGCTGCAACTAGACATTCAGAGCTGAAAAAGCCACGGAAGTGTGTTTTTATCTCACCCCAGCTGTTTGTTATGGTCCTTCTGCTCAAGGGTTTTGCCCCTGTAAAGATCATTTGGAATCTGTTGTGCTGTCAGCTCTTTGCTTTTTGGAGTGGTCCCCACCTGACTAATGCAGTGACTCCTTTTGTCTTTGCTCAGGTAACTGGCAAGATGGATGAGAACCAGTTTGTTGCTGTGACCAGCACAAATGCAGCTAAAATCTTTAACCTGTACCCACGGAAGGGCCGTATTGCAGTGGGCTCGGATGCTGATCTGGTTATCTGGGATCCCGACAGCGTCAAGACAATCTCTGCCAAGACTCATAACATAGTAAGGATATTTTCTACTCTGTGAGCTCTGCTGCTCATTTCCTCCTCTCTTCCTTCAGTGCCAGACTGTGCTGCCAAGAACTAGAGCTTATGACAACTCAGGGCTTTGTTTTCTCGATGCCCCAAGCCCTCCCTGGTCTTAAACCCAGCAGGGCTCAGTTGTGTGAGCAGAAGGGAAGATGATTTGCATCTAAATCTGAAGTCACATGAATACGCAGAGGTTCCCCTCAGAGCAAAGAGATTGTCTGCCCTTTCCGAGCTTTGGGTGTTTGAATCTGAGCACACAGAAAGCTCTTTAAAGTATCAAAAGAGCTCTTATGATGACGTGCCATTTATGACCTGGCTGGCTAATAGTGGGAATGTGAACTGTCCCTTTTCTAGCTGGACACAGTGAAGCTTGTCAGCTTGTGGGCACCTTCCTGGGAGATCTGATCCAGATCATTGAGTCTGAGTGGATTTGCACCATGATCTGGCACATGTGTGTGTAGGCATACTTCAACATGGTTTTACTGCCAACCATCCCAATGTCAGCTGGCACGGGGAGGCCCAAGGCAGAACCCAGACTGACCAGACCTTCCCCTTGGTTCTTTGTGGCTTTGTGGTGGCACTGTTAGAGGCACTGTTTGCCTGTGTCCCACAGCTATGTCCTGTATCTTATACCCAGCTCCTACAAGGAAAAAGCTGTCCCACCCTGTGGGAAACTGCAGCATGGTCTCAGTGCACAGGGCTGGTTGGAGTCTCCCTGTGACATTCGAGCACTGTCTCAGAGAAAGCAGCCACTGTTTGCATTTGTTGACGATTTGTTTCACTGCTGGCGATGAACCTATGGAATGTTTCCCTGGAAAAACCCTCCTTTTTTCCATGAATGCTTTCATTCACTCTGGAGCTGAAGGAGCAAAATTTCCTTCCACACTTGGATCCCTGGACACACGCACAAAGAAACGTTTTTTAAAGGTTTGGTTCACTTCCCTGTGACTTAACTCGGTGTCAGAATTGGTCACAGATGGCCTGGATTTATCCAGCCTGTGCTTAGACCTCTGACAAAGGCATCCAGACTCAGAAGTCTGGTCACTTCAATCACCTTAGAGGTGCTTCCAGACTTACCACACCTCCAGTCTGGAGAGGAATGGCTTAGAGGAGGGAGCCCAGAGACATGGTGCTATTAGGTGCCAAATTTAGTAGTCTAAACTGGGTTTGTGCTTATGAATGGCTCAGAGAGCTGGAAGTGGCTTGCTGGTTGGAGTATTTGAAAGTCATTGCCATTGAAAGGATTAGGAAATGAACTGAACTCTTCAAGTTTGCTAACACATAACTCAGAGACTTCATCTTTTGTGGATAAGCTCCAGTACAATCAGGTTTTGCCTTAGATCTGGGCTAGACTGAAGGAGAACTATCTCCACAGCAGAACAGCTAATCAGATATACTTCATACATTGAGGACTGCAGATGGCCCTGAATCTCTTGCACCATGTAAGAGGCTTCAGCACTCAATGAACTATTGCCAAAGACTACATTTTCAGTTGTGCCAAGACTATGGAGGACAAAGTGGTTTGTTTTTGGCTTGAAGGGCTGTCTAAGAAATGGCATCTTTTTGCCTTACACATCCAGCTGTAACCTCTTCCCCTGTCATTGCATTATGGGTTATACCTGGTGTGACACCTGCTGGGGTATTTTTTGTGTCTCACACTGCACGTGTGCCTTGGGTTGGAGGAGAAATGGGTACAAGTGATGCCTTTAGAGTCAAGGCATCCTAGTTTGGTCAAGTATAAAACAAAGGCCCCTTTGAAAGCCAGGCAGAGCGGTTGCTGCGACACAAGGAAACGTAGTGATTATGTGGCATCAGATGATTGTTACTTTTTTAAATGCTAGAGCAACATACAGATGTTTTCCAAGAATTCACACTGCTCTTGCCACTCTCTGGCAAGGAAACACTAGGAGCTAGAGAGGAAGATAGTGTTGTTCTTGGAACCAGCCTAATTCATAACCTTCTGACCAAGCCTCCTCCTTTGCCACAACATTTTCCAGACTGGACCCGGTTCAGTGTTGGTTGAACCACCATTCTAGCTAACTGTAAATCTGCAGTCACCCCTCCCCATACTTACAGCACACTCCAAGAGCAAACTTCATCATTAACTCAGTAAAAAGGGCCTGGATTTGTCTCCAAGATGGTCACTAGAGTGGCAGTCCCCAGATAACGTGTTGCAGTGCATCTCAATCCAGGATGCTTCATGGGTTGGACCATTTACCAGTGATTCCTTTGAAACTTGTTTTTTTCCTTGGTGTAATATTTCCAATCCTATTAATTGAGGATGAGCAATCCCATTAGAGTAAAACAAGATTGTCCTGGTCCCTGACCCATTGACCAAAACACTGCTCTGAAATACAGCTTTTCAAAATGATTCTTTTTAGTATGAAACTTTAATAAAACTTGATTTGATTCCAAAATCCCCATCAGTTCAGAAGAGATAGGTGCCTAAGTGCATTTAAAGAGGTAGGCTTTGAGATACTCTCACTTGAATCTGTATTTCCTATTCATGAATCTTGTTGCAGTGGAAATTGTGCATGAGTGAATCCTTAATCAATGTAGACTGATAATAAGGCCCAGCCTTTCTCTTAAACCACAGCATACACAGCTCAGGTAAATGCTCTTGAGTTTGCTTCCATCTGCCCTTCACATTTTGGCTATTAGCAGGACTGGTGACTGTTAATTCAAGCACAACAGGCTTTGCTGGCACAAGCATGTTTGCCTCATGTTGTCTTTTTGTTGTAGTCTCTGGAGTACAATATCTTCGAAGGCATGGAGTGCCGTGGGTCTCCCCTCGTCGTTATCAGCCAGGGGAAGATTGTGCTGGAGGATGGGAATCTCCATGTCACCGAGGGATCCGGGCGGTATATCCCCAGGAAACCATTCCCTGACTTCGTTTACAAGCGCATCAAAGCAAGGAGCAGGGTGAGTGTGACTGGTTGCATGCACATTTGTTCTCTCACTGCAACTCCTGAGTTAAAGTGGGTGGAAAACAGATGCTGTCCCCTGGCTCCCAGGCACACGCTTCTGCAACAGAAAGTGTTCCCTGGATGGGGGCCATATTTATCTCATTCCTCTTTCATTTTTGCTATTCATTTGAGTCATTACAGGAATATGCTTTGGCTTGAGCTTGGATTTTCTGCAAATTGTATTTTTCTGCTCTTTTAATTCTTCTCTGTCTGGGACCCCTCGAGAGAGCATGTGTAAGAACTGTCCAGTTTGGACACAAGTCAGTCAATGCAAATAACCCATCAGGCTTCCTCTGTCACAGAAGTACCAAGAGAAGTTATTGATGGCATTTATCTACCAAACCTTTCAGCAACAATTCAGGATTCTGATTTATTGTTACAGATACATTATGCTGCTTTCCCTTCTGGCAGATATGATCAGATGCTCTTGTCTGGTGACTGGTGAGTCACAGGCACAGCCTGATTGAAAGTGAGAATTGTCTATTTTTAAGAGGCTAAAATGGATGGGAAAGTGTTTTTATAAAATACACCCATTCAGAACAGAAACTGCCTTTTGAGATGCCTTTACTTGGTAAAAACTGGCAGAGGAGATGACACTGAACTCAGCTGCAGCTTAGTTGCTGAGAATTTAAGAAGTTTATTTCTGGATGAAGTCAGATTTTGGAGGAGAAAAGTCTTCTGATGTTTGAAGTGTTACCCTCTCTTGGACAAAAGCAGAGCTGTGGTAGTTCTGCTGCCCATAGGATGATCTTCACATACCTTGCAAATGATCTTTCCTGAATTGTTCTTTTGAAGAAATGGCAAGTTATCCAAATTACAACCTCAAATGACTTAGCCCTGCAGAGAACAGATGTGTGGGTTCTGTTGTGTTCTGGTCTCCCACAGAAATATGTGTCTGACCTATAAATCCAATTGGGCAGCATCTCAACTGGAATAATTGAATTTAACCCAATCTAAAGCTCCCAGGCTGGCAGTGTGAAGCTGGCCTGGCTCCTCTTCCTCCAGACCTGCCTCTGTCTCAGCACTGTTTTGCTTTTTGGGGATGACTAATAAGTTGTGTTTGAGAGTTGTCAGGAGCCTTTAATACAACAGCAGGTAGGTTGGGATCATTAAAGGACAACTTGTGGAGCAGGGGACAGACTGGCTGTCTTCTGCAGGCTGCTCACACCAGTTAACAACCAGCTGGAGCCACAGGAGTCCAAGCACCTTTCATTTTACCCATGCTGCTTCAGAGAGCAGCTACCGCCTGGGGATCAGCATGGAGGAGATGATGTTCCCTTTCAAATCCTCTTACCAAAGACAAATCTTGACGTGTGTGTCTTTGTCGTAACAACATCTGGCCAGCTGTTTAGCTCTGGTTTGACTCTGTGTTTTGCAGCTGGCTGAGCTGAGGGGGGTGCCTCGAGGCCTCTACGACGGACCCGTCTGTGAAGTGTCGGTGACACCGAAGACCGTCACACCAGCGTCTTCAGCTAAGACATCTCCTGCCAAACAGCAGGCCCCACCCGTGAGGAACCTGCACCAGTCTGGATTCAGCTTGTCTGGTACATACTTTACAGGGCTGAATTATGTATTGCTTTGAAATACATCCATACTCTGCATTAATTCTGGAAGGAGATGAGAGAGACTGTGGGGTGGGTTTAGCTTGGAGGTTATCCCTTTATCATAGACTCCTAAAACCCTAGAATGGTTTGTGTTGGAAGGGACTTTAAAGCTCATCCAATTCCAACCCCCTGCCACGGGCAGGGACACCTTCCACTAGAGCAGGTTGCTCCAACCTGGCCTTGAACACCTCTAGGTTTAGGAAGGAAGGAAGAGCAGTATAGGAGCTCCATCATAAAGTCCTGCTTATTTTTCATGCATGCTGAGTACCCCATAGTGTTCTGAACTGGGCAGATGGCACGAAGTTCAGCAGAGCTTTGCCAGCTGAGAACAGCTTTGGATCTGGTATGTGGCAGATTTGATTTCTCAGCGTGCTGTTCCAGTGCAATAAGGGAAAGCTATAAAAAGGAATGCACAGGCTCACTAAGAGGAAACCATTTAGCCAACTCTGACCTGTGCAGGGCTGGGTGGCTCAGGAGACAATAATGCAGAGCAGGTTTCGGCAGAATTAATTCACAGAATCATTAGGGTTGGAAGGGACCTCTGGAGATCATCCAGTCCAACCCCCTCCCAAGGCAGGGCCACCCAGAGCAGGTCACACAGGAACGTGTCCATGGTGGGGTTTGAATGTCTCCAGAGAGGAAGAATCCACAACCCACCCTGGGCAGCCTGTGCCACCCTCAACGTAAAGAAGTTCTTCCTCATGTTGAGGTGAAACTTGCTGTGTTTTAGTTTATGGCCATTGCTCCTCATCCTGTTGCTGGGCACCACTGGGAAGAGTCTGGCACCATCCTCCTTGCACTTGCCTTTGGGAAACTGATCTGCATTAATGAGATCAGTGAAGGCACTGGAGGCCAGTGAGGGCTTTTCCTCCAAAGGAAGGACACAGTTGGAGCCTCCTTAAGCAGTGTCAAGGGTTTCAACTCAGCAGTGCTCTCCCAACTCCCTTGTCCTGCAGCTCACTCCTCTCAAGCTCTCAGTGGCCTGGGACGGGGGGGTCCTGACGTTGCTTCTCTCTGCCGCAGGGGCACAGATCGATGACAACATCCCACGCCGCACGACCCAGCGCATCGTGGCACCACCGGGTGGACGTGCCAACATCACCAGCTTGGGCTAAGGAGCGAGCCCTCTGCGCCCGCACAGCGCACCGGGGCCGGGGGCACCTCGACACCCTTCTTGAGTCTTTTAGAGCCTGTGACGGTTACTG